CCTTAAAAGTTAGTTATGTAACATCTGGACTTTGTGAAGTTTCTTCAATAACTCGATATTTTATGCATTGGTATATGTGACACTAAGCTACAGAACAACAGTCAGAGTGTTTAATTTGAGGTGTGAAACACTCTGAATGATTTTTATGATGAGCTGCCCGCAGGCTGTTTTTATGTAATTTACCTACATGTGTAGACATCAATGTCCCTTCAGGGTTAGCTTACATGCTGAGGAAACCGGTCCTGCTGGAAGCTCTCGATGAATCAGTCATTTCTATAGCTGTGTTTATCATCAGGAGTGTGTGCAAGCTGTGTTATTGTCGTGTAGGCTGATTATTAGTGTTTAGAATTTATGTGAGGATAGAGGTTTGTTTCAGGATAAATTAAATCCAGTGGAAATTCAAATCAAATACTCCTGTTGCTCAAAAACAAACCAGGCTACTGTAAGAAACTTAGGTCCAAATCCTCTAACTCTCAACACTCTGAACACATCACAATTATATCACCTGCTGCATTGACACATAAGCTCACTACCACTTCATGCACATATTTTAAGAAGGGGCTGGCAGGAAAAGGTCCAGACAAAGTTGGTATGAAGAATTCAGCTAGTTGTCTTCACACATACAGCTCACCGCTAACAACGAGCTGGACTTTGGGGTGATGCGTGCTTGGGCATGGTACGGATGGCCTTGTGTGAGTGCGCCCTAAAGGTTTGAATCAGACTCTGTTCAATGTACTCACGTCAGGCTCTGAGTTCAGACAGCTGTTGAAGCCGTGTGAATGGGTGTGTGTTTAAAAGACGTTGTTAGTGTGTTTGTGTGTGGACCTCCTGGTTGACCCTCCGTACACCCTGCCCTGCCCCGCCAGCAACTCAAACCAACAGATCAGTTACTGAAAGCAGTTGGCTGGTTTTACATAACTCCACACTGCAGGGAGGGATGCACAGTGTTTGTGTTTTTGTGTATGTGTCGGGGTGGAGAAGTGGTCGAGCTGGTTAAGCGTTTCACTTTAACAAATGACTTTCTGCAGAAGAGAGTGGACGAGGCTTAATCCCACCAGAGACTTCCTGGTAATCTCAAATTTAATAAAAGGTTTGGATTTGTTTAGCAACATGGAGGATTCATGCAAGACGAATAAAAAGTAAAATTAAGCTCATTAAGTTTCTCCTATATTCAGAGGAGCTCTGATCATTTTTGAACAACCATGTAAAGAAATGCAGAGCAGGAAGGTGATTCTGATATTTCACATCACAGGAACATGTCAGGGTCTCCTCCAGGTAACTTAGAGCTCCTGTGAGGAACTTTAGCTTTGAGTTTATTTGGTACCCCCCTGTGGAGGAAGCTGTATATCTTGTCAGCCTGTAAATAAGTAAGTTATCCATAACCCAAATATCTGCTCCTGCTTTCTTGTAACAGTCAAACATATGTGAATCTCAGTAATAGTCCAGTGTGTGTCTGCACAAAGCCAGTGTCAATATTTGATGTACGGTTGCCACGATGGCAGAAATGTAAACTTCGGTATGATTCGATTAAAATTATATTAATATCCGTTTGGATACCAAGACAACAAAACTAGAAGTCTTACAACCCCAATACTGGGTTATTTCCTGTTTTTAATCATCATAAAATGCAGGCGCTGTGAGAGAAAAAAAATAGGAGTAGCTGTCTTGATTGTAGAAATCTGTTAGGTACGTGGCCAAAGATTCACAGATCCAGAACAGTTAACCATCTTTATGTTAAAGGTCAGAGTTCATCAGCTGCATAAAGGGTGTCAACATTTTCAATACTGCACTTTAGTTCATCCAAATTTACAAGTCAGCAAATACTGTGATGTTTCTCAAGTCATTCTGGACTCTAATAAAGATTCAAAAGTTACATTTATGCCCCATGGAAACAGACAGAGAGCAGAGGAGGAGACACGGCCTTGATTTAATGTGTTGCACATATTAAACGTTGCCAAACATATGGCATTTGAGATTGTGTGCTTGCTCTTTTTGGTAACTATGAACAAGAAATCGCCTAGGACTTCTACATTTGATGCCGTGGTATCTAAACAGATATTGATGATGTTGGATTTTTACTTGAAGTTAAACATTCAGGTACAGTGACCTCCTACTGCTACTTAGGAATTTAGGAAATTAGTCCAAGAATTGGTTTCCAATGACATAAACTCTCCTAAAACGGTTTAATTTTACTACAGCGTTTGAGGAAGTTGAATTGGCGGACTGTAAATCTATTGCAGACGCTGTGAATGTAGCTGAAGTTCAAACAGATCGGACACAGGTGTAACTGAATCTGCAGGACGTCACTGTGCAGATTAACAAAGAGGAAGAGACAGGCCTGTGACAGCACAGTGTGATTATCTGAGTCAGTTCAGCCCGATAGAGAAAGTCTCATAGTTAGTTCAGCTCTTCATAAAATGAACGTTCTCTTCAGCTTACTATAACACTGAGCAAACTGTAAGATGTTTTGCTGTTTTATTTAAAGCATCGCTGCGTTGTTCCTCAGCATGAGTCAGCATGTCGTGAAGGGTCGAGTCATGCTTTTAGCGTCATTGGCTTATGATCTGCTTCGCTGTCACTGGTAAACCAATGCCAACAGTTCAGCGAGTGTCTTTGTCAAACCAAGCTCCATTAATTACGCAGTTAATTGGTCTCACAGGAAATCTTGGGGGATTTACTGGGATTGGCTGTGGCAGGTGGACTGGATCAGGTTACCACCTCTAGGTGAGAAGGTCAAGTTTATCCCACATAGAAACTCAACAGACTTCAGTCTCCCTCAGATCAACGTGCGAGGCTAATTAACTGATTATGGACTCATGCTGTACAGACATTAAAAAGGAAATGTGAATTAGTCTTTCATAAAGTTATTAAGTTTTCCTCTAAAGATGAGATAAAAAGCTGAACTGAGAAAATGAATGATTATGACATTGACAACAAAAAGTAACCATAAATCAAGGCTCTGTTAACTTAACCAACGTAAAACTTAATTTGTTTACATGCTGTAACCAAAAATAGATATAGTTGGCTTTTGAAGTAGGAAGAGACATTTGTAAAGTGGATTTTCATATCTGTCCTGTTCTGTTCCCACAAACATACACCCACAAATATTAGCATTTAATGTCCTTGCCTTTTTTCTTTGATATCTTTTTAGTATTTTAAATAATTAAAAAAAGGAATTTAAAAGGTCAGTTTAGTCAGTTTTGCAGAACTGATAACCCGAGTCTGGCTCTATTGTTGAGATTTCATTTGCAGAAGAATCCTTAATTCAAACTGGAAAGAAGTGAGGGGTTCAAAACAAACTTTTGGTTGTCTTTATTATCCCTGTGAGAGAGCATTTTGTCACACAGTAACAACATGCAGACATACAGCCAACAATTCATATATAGCATCAGACATACACTAAGAAGTAAAAGCCCAATGGACAATAAATACAATCGATAAAAAACGGGTTAAAAAGCAACACAGTTAGTCCTTAATAAAGGCAATGACAGCAGGGGCAACTTAATGCATTAGTCTCTTTGTCCTGCATGCTGGCAGGACGAATCTGCAACTTAAACTCAAGGATGACAAAGGATGTTTTCGATCAGATCAGATTGACTGGGCCTTCTTCAATGTACTTACTTTATACAGGTGTGATAGGTCAGCCAATGACGAACCTGCAATTGAATTATACTCTGAGTGGTTCTTAATGCTGAGTGACCCGTACCAAGTGACCGTCGAGAAAGTTAAAACCAATTCACCTTTGATTATTCAGACTGTTCTGGTTATTCAGATAACCTTTATTGTTCCACGACTGGAGAATTTGTTTTGCAACAGGAGCACAGAGTGTAAACATCAACAATCAAATTTACACCCATTTAAAATCGCTCACAAATGACAAAATATGAATTAACGTCACACACATCAACAATGACATCAGTCAAATCAGAGCTCATACTGAATTAGAATTTCCAAGTAATGCAAAGTGCAATGTGGAGGTGTAAAAATGTGCAATGATAGTGCAAGAAGAGCAACCCGAGTGCTCATTTCCATATATGTTAGAGTAGAATAGAAAGCCTTTATTGTCATTATTCAATTATACAATGGAATTAGAAATGCTTCATCTTAAAGTGCACAGGCATCCATCAGCAGCAAACAACTAGCATTCATATCGGATAAGAGGGACAATGGATATTTAGAAAATATTTACAGCAGGTAATGTAAAATAAAAAAAATTAGTTCGTCACAAGTAAAGAATATAAATAAATATTGCATAGTCCGAGATGTAAATATTGCAGAGGTAAGAAATATGTATTCTGCCTTTTACAACAAGTCTGTAATTGGGATTATATTTTTTTCCTTTCAAAAAACAGTCTGGAAGACCTGAACAACAGATGGAGACCATTAACTCATCTAATCAGAGTCTGATTCACTGGCATGTAGTTATTATAATCCATTCTCACCTGCTGCTGCATCTGTTTTTTCAACCTGTTCATGTGATGCATACTGAGCAGAGACAGGACAGGAGTCCAACAACCACAGCACAGAAATGTACCAGATACCTGAGGAGAAACAAAAGGTGTTGTTTACTAAAATCACTGCTTGTGATGCAGCTTTACATCTCATGGTTACAGCTGTTTTATCATCATCAGTCTTTCTTTTGCAGAATTACAACTTATTTTTGTTGAACATCTCACAGTCTTTATTGAAATCAGCTTTTTTAAACTCCCCCCTCCCTGCAATAAATCCGTTTATCTATAGGCCTATATCCGTTAATGGAGAAATGACTTCAAGGTTGTCAAAGTGTTTGATACTCTTTAATCCCAATCACGCACATACTGTCCTGAGAATGGGATTACTGTCCTACTAAAACCCTACATGTGGATGCATGCGCTGCTGGAAATATATATAATAGTCCCAAAGTATAGCACCATTTCTCCAGTGTATTAATTAAACTAACAGGTAACAGCGTTGTGGGGAAATTAAATGAAATATCTGACTGTTTGTTTGTTTGTTCAGGGATGGAGTTCCCCGTGGATCTGCTGGCTGATGTCAGCCACGCAGAGCTGGAACGGTCGGCCCAAAACTACATGAACAACCTCCTCTACAGCAACCCTGATACAGCGCAACACCTCACCCTGTCTGACAATACACAGGTAACACACACCTCACATGTAACATACACACACATTAACAGGTAACACACACCTCACATGTAACATAAACCCGTTTCACACATATGGAAATCTCCTGAAAAACTCTGGAGATTTGGCTACCCGGAGGGACTTTAGGGTATATGTGAACGCAAACAGCTGCATTTTTCACGTGGACTTTACCCCGAGTTTATCCTGCTGGACCCCTAGTATTTTATCCGCAGAAAGTCTGAGTGAGCTGATGTGAGAATGCAGCAGCTCCGGAGGATTCACCTAGAGCCAATGGGACCCGAGTGACGTTTATATACAGTGACTGCCGCACTGTGCATAAAGTGTCTGCACGCGACCACTACGATCTCTGTGCTCGTAATTAAACGTCTGCATTCTGTTTTCTGTTCGTCAGTATGTTGTTCTCCTCTCTTTTGTGGATGTTGTCATTCCATTGGATTACACATAGCATTGATATAAAGGCAAATATTCTCATTATAGCGTCGTGTAGCGGACTCTGTTGCTTCGGCCTCTACTTCCGCGTTGTTTGTTTAGTTCACGTCTTACGTCGGGAAATCCCCCGCCCCCCTCCCCTCTGACAGGGATAGTCCCCCGCTGTGAGGAGCATATGTGAACGACTAGGTCGGGAGAATCTCCAGAGAAGTCCTCCTGTAAATATCTAGATATTATCCGGAGTGCATATGTGAAAACGGCTATACACACACATTAACAGGTAACTCACACCTCACAGGTAACATACACTTTACAGGTAAAACACATCTCACAGGTAACACGCATCTAACACATAACATACACACACCTCATGGGAACACACACATCACACATAACATACACACACCTCATGGGAACACACACATCACACATAACATACACACACCTCATGGGAACACACACATCACACATAACATACACACACCTCACATGCATCACAGCATAACTCGGGTTTTCGTCGGGTTCCTTCTCCTCGCTGTCTTTTACAGAGAAAGCACCAACGTCGGACTCTGAAAATATAAAGCCAACTCACCTGTAATACAGCAGGGATACTTTCTTTATTGGTTAATCCTATATCTGGCTGTATTTTTTAGCACAAGTGTATAATTGAAACGAAATGAGTTGCTGAAGACTCTATGATTTGATGTACTTCTCCGTCTCTCTATCCTCAGGTCAACATAAACATTTCCAGCGTTGGTTTAGTTCCTCTCTATGGAACCAGTGACAATAAGAAGATCCTGGCCCTCTTCTCTCCCCCTGACCCTCTGACCGCTGTGGCTCTGTTCCTGCTGGACCGCTGGTGGACGGTGGATGACCTGCTCAAGACAGCAGACACTGCTCGAGATGGAGCTGTGGAGGTACGATCTGATGAACTATTTATATAAATGTATTCTCCACATAGAGTGGACACTGTGCACCAACTAGATTTCTTATACTCATCATTACTATGAGGCTTTAATAGAATACATTTTATTTGGGTTAAAAAAAACCTGAATAAAATAAATAAAGTGATATCAAATGTGCTTACAAAACAAGGCCAAACTTTTGATTTGTGGATTTCACGAAAATGTAATAAGTCAATCTCCTCGTAAACTTTTTGCAGATGAGCAGAGTCTTCAGCGCGGTTAAATTAGCGAGCTTGTTTGGCGAGAATGGCAAATTTTAGCTGACAGCGATGCTGCTCTTCTCTTCATTACTTAGGACTCTTTATGCACCGTGAGTGAGGCTGTTTACATTCATGCTTTTGTGGGAGGGGCTTTGATATTCATTCTGATTGGATACTTTTTTATATTATAGCTTACTCTGACTGGTTCAGCTAAACTTGCCCACCTCAGCTTTTACATTTTGCAAAGGTTTGTGTGCACAGAAACAGATGCTGATAAATATTTCAGGTGCAGTCTGGATTTGAATAGTTTGTCATAGTTAACATCAGTACATCAGTCTGTTGCCACTCAAATCAAGTGGGTATCGTTTAAAGTTGAATTTATTCAATAGAAAAGTGCCTCTTTTGTTTCCTTGCAAAGCATCTGTGAAAGTAGCTTTATGACATCTGACAAAAGACAAAACACCGGCTGAACTGTGCTAGATATTTTTGCACAGGCAGAGGAGTGACTCTGGTGTTCAAAAGTATTTTTATGTATCTGACACATTAACTA